AAAAGAAGAAATATGTTTTGGGTGATCTCTCACAATTGTTTTTCTTGCCAAGATACTCTAAAAATCAATACCTCCTCTCTTGGGCAGAGTCTAGTGTTTAAAAATAGGGTTTTGGGTTAAAAATCCCATGTTTTGCACTTTAGTCCCTGAAATTTCCGCCTCCTGCCGCGGTTCTACCGCATTCGCGGCCAAACATGGTCTCTGATTCTTCAATTGTCTGCGTCTGCACTCTGCCGCGGTTCTGCCGCGGTCGCGGTGAAACCGCGGGTTTTCATCCTGTTCCGTTTGGAATTTGGAAAAACGCAAAACATGAAAGTTGTATCCCTTTGAGTTATCTTTCCAACCATATATTATGCAGCCAAAATGGAGTTCTTATTAAAAAGTTATGTGCATTTTACTAGATAGTGCGCAATATGCCTCATCGAGTCTTCGTTTGTTCTCAACTATCAAATTTGACCCCCGAACACGATCCCGGCTTAATTCCTTGAGCTTTTACTCTGACTTAAAAGCTTAAAATCACTTAAATTCATTCCATAACATCTATATAGCTCGGAATCACACCTACAAGGCATAAAACATATAATTAGTGCAAAACACTAGCGATTAAAGCGCAAACTCAACTAAAGTGCAGTAAATTAGAGTGTAATAATCAACTAAAACACGTAATTATAGCCTATCATCAAAGCACTTGTACATTTGATTTCCCCCATTAATAAGTAGCTTTAGATTTCAGGCAGCTGGTGTTCCCAAGAAACTAGCACCAACCATCGGCATTGCTGTTGATCATCGCCGCAGGAATAGATCCTTGGAAGGTCTCCAAACCAATATCCAGAGGCTTAAGACTTACGAGGCTAAGCTTGTCATCCTTCCTAGGCGTGCTAAGAAAGTCAAGGTAAATTTGAAAATAATTATTCTTTGCCCTGCTAGTTCAGGATTCCTGCTTTGGTGTCTGAACACATTATGCCTAAAATTTACCTTGAACTCTCTCTTGCAGGCCGGTGATGTTGGAATATATACCACAGCGGAAGCAATAACAGAATCTTATTCACGTGTAATCTAAACAACTAGCACATATGGAGATTTTCGGATTACCTCTTGAAGCGTAAACACAACAAATCTATGTCGTTCTCCAGTTCCTCAGTTGAAAACACACTAGCAGATTTCCACAGTCTTCTACTGTGTTACCCAAACAATAACCGAAAATAGAAAATTTTGGGTGGGCAAAATTCTAGTAGAAACCGCAGTCAGAATCATGTAAAAAACATCCAGCCCTTATATCCATATATATAGCTGCGTTTTTAGGTCAAAACCGTTTTCAAAACCTGTTAGGTTTCCTTCTCCCACTAAGGGACGGTTTCCACGTTTTCTTTCCCACTAAGTAACAGTTTCCACTATTTTCTATTATTTAGGCACAGTAGGGACCACATAATTTAATTAACAAGGCTTCCTATTATGATATTAATTTCGAAATTCTGAAACTAATTTCCATCATAATAAATTACGAATTGTTCCACTAAAAATTCGTAATTGCACTCCTTAGTTCAATTTCGAAATTCTTCCATAAAACCTTATTTAACTCCCCATGTTAAGATTCAGATACTAATCAATCAAATTAAATTACTGACTATTTAATTTATTGATTACTTCCTTTAGACTTACACTTAACTTATTTCATGTGTCGGATACAAAATCCACCGGCCGGGTTTACACATGAAAACTTATAAGCTTTCATAAAGGAGTATCATCAATCTCAAAATCGAGACATGGATTCCATCAACTAATTATTANCTTGTGCTACAATCATTCCGATGATTTGTCCAATTCCATCATTAGATTGTGAACATTAACTTTTATGTCTTACAAGAACCGATGATTTAATCTTCCGTGTATAAGCTAAACTCTATACACTAAATCATCTACTATGTAAGCAATGGACGCACAAACCAACACATGATCTATTTAAAATGAAACTTTATTGAATTTAAACAAGTAAATAAATAATTGTTCATAAAAAATACTATAACAATACGCATGGCTTATAGTATATTCTAACAGGTGATTCTAGTGCAGAGGAACTTGCTACTGCCACCTGGGTCCATACATGCCTGCTTATTACTAGGGAGCAACTAGCTGTTGACCTTGTCAAGGTCCCAGATGAGATGAAATCATTCAATGCCTATGGCAAGCTGCGTATCGAGCGTACAAATGCACGACACATTGGAGCCAGGCTGAAGAGAGCAGCTGAAGCAGAGAAGAAATAACCAATTAGAACTGTGGTGTAGCCTGTAAAGAATTATCAGTTTTCTGGTGACTGAGTGATGAAGTTTATGATACAATCATTTTCAGGAACTTAAGCTTCTCTTTATTCAAGAATTTTGTTCTTTTGATGGTTTTCCATATACCATGTGAACTATTTCTCTGTTGTGTCGGCATGCTTTGGCATTTAGCTTAGGGAGAAGTGTCAGTTTCCAAATTCTGATGGCTACTTAGAATTCTTTAACATGACCGACTGATCAGATGATGGGGTTAAATATTTTCTGGTGCTAGTTGGGTGGCACGAGGTAGCAGTTGCAATCAATCTGTAGCCAGTGAAGTTATCAATCAGGCATACCTTTGTAAGAATTATAGTTCTTTTAATTTGGAATGTCGGAATGTTTGTGCAGACATCGAAATGTTAAGGGATTAAAGAAACTACAGGACTCTTTAAATCCTAGGAGTCTATTAGGGTTTATTGGAGGTTACTCTACCCTAAAGCCTAACTCACACATATATAAAGGGATACATATTCCCTTGAAGAGATATCTCGAAAATCCCATAAACTCTTGGGATATTCACAAAAACATCAAAATACGGCCAGATACTTCTTGACCATCAAATTGTAGCGATTCCCGAACGAGAAAAGCCATAAAAATGAACTAAGAAAGCAATGAAAAGAAAATAGAGAAAACAAGAAGATAAAATTTGATTTTTCATTCAACATCGCTGGAAATGGACGAGTGCAAAGGAATATAAAGAAAGCAGAAATAACTTCCTAACAAACCAGACACGTGGACGCTAATTACGCTTCTACCTTCAGGGACTTAACAGCAAATAACTAAGGACTCAATTTGACAATAAGTAAACTAATGATCTAAGAATTGTAATTAATTAGACCTCAAAGACTAAACCTCTAAAGACCAGTATTTATCTTCAAAACCACAATAAGTCTCCACTGTTACATTCCATCCCTCTTTAAAACAAACCTTGTCCTCAAGGTTTGGATACTGCAAATTGCAACAGAATAGTCTTGTAAAGTCGTAATCATGGCTGACTTGCAAATAGAGAAAAAATCAGTGTGTACTTATTTGTAGCAGAAGTGACCTTCTTATGCCCACTTCCTTGCATTTTGTTACTCAAAATATCATTGGCAATCAATTGCACATGTAAAATCTGATAGAAGGAACCCATTAGACATTGGAAGAATTCATTCAAGTCAAAAACACTAATAGCTTCAGCGCTAGGAAGAAAAGAAGCAATATGCAATAGACAACATTTTCTGGTTTCTTCACCAGCTTCTTTACAAAGAGGACCACCTTGAACAGTATTATAAACACATTGCAGTAATACTCTCCGCCACCAACTTTTATGATGAATGTAACCAGCAACTACCAAGACCAATATGCTTCCACTACCAATAAACAAAGTAAAAACCATCACAACCGCAAACTCCATTATAAATGCTTTAGCTTTAACAAGTTCAAAAGCTTTGATTGAATTACTATCCCCATTTGCATTTAGGAGAACACCGATCCCTCTTGAATTCTTGTGAACAAACCAATAAAATTTTCTTTCTTGAATTAATACACAATGACTAACAAAAGAAACAGAACCAGTTATAGCTGCTTGTTTTTTACCATCTCGTCAATAAGGAATATAGCCTTCTTTCGGTAACCACAATGTGATTGCCAAGTTAGTCCAGAATTCCCCTTGATTTTAATCTCAGAATGATTCCCCTCTATGCCACTAGAAGATGAAAGAAGTGATATGACAGAAGTGTGAAATTCATTATATGTGCAAGTGCCAAATACTACAAGAATGAAAATTTCACCAAAAGATGCTACCACTTCAAGGATATCAAAAAATTTGCAACCTGAATGAAGAGGTCTCATTTTTGTCAACTTAATACTGACATCTAAAACATTCTCCATTTGTTCAAAATTTCTCAACAATTCCCCTGTACAAGCAAAATGCAGTTGTTGAGGCTTCGTCTTTTGGTCTTCGCTCCTTGATGCCAATGTTTTCCACACATAAATTAATGAGCAGGCATAGCTACAAGAAACCAATGTAACTAAAAAGCTAACAAGATCATAAATCATTTGCCCAATTAATTCTGCAGCCTTAACTCCAACATCTATTGTCCTATCAAACATCTCCTTCATGCACCAGGTCTCACAACGTTCAAACCTTGTTACTAGAGTAGTGGTTCCTTGGCCAGTGTCCAGCGACATTTATACCCACGCTGAGCCAATTCTTCGCTCAATGATTCTGATGACCAATGCAAAACTTCTAGTTGCTGTTGAACTCTAGCAATAGAAGTCACAACCCTACATACCCAAACAACCAGGTGTACAACGCTCGCTGTACTCCAATATACAGTACATTGCATCGCCATTTTCATTTGAACAGTGTGATCACTAATATAGATAATACTCACAGTAGGCAGCACCTCAAAGGTACCATCACTGTCTTCACATCCTGATTGAAGAGAGGTGCCTCCTCCAATATCATTAGCCATAATTACTTTCCTGTTCGAACACGTAAATTGCGAAAACCACAACACTAATGTCTTATTAGCATCACGGATTACTTCAGAACTGCTTACATCCAATGGATTAGTCTTTGCCGCTAATAAACATTCTATCATTGGAAAGCGAGGCTTCATGTCGCTCTCTCTTGAGCATATTAACACCATTGCTTGCCATGTGTCCAGCGAATTACTGTCCATGTTCACCAGTAGTATTGCCGTGTCCTCTAACAAATTTCCTTTATACATGCCGAAGTAATTTTGGGCGCACCAAATGTATCGATTAGCACCAGACACTTTTTTAAAGACTAGCCTTTGTGTACGCGCTTTGCGCGTGTACCTATCTCAATAATTAAAATTTTGTTTTTAATTTATCTTTAAATTATAAAATAACAATATAAATTTCTGAAAATGATGAATGTTGATCATGCATAATTATCTCTTTAAAAAAAGAAACTGCCCAACATAAATACTCAATCATCAGTCAATAATTCGACTGAAAATTTATTTCTAATGACGGAAATTAGAATTAGAAGTGTGTATTTGATTTTGAAGAGTCACTATTCAAGTGAGATTAATATTTAAACATATTACTCATACCAAATTTTAAATATTAAGTTGTAGTTATATTCTTATTCATAAGATTTTTTTTTTCAAATGACAAAAAATCAATTAGGTAAAAAAAATCCATGTATGACATGGTCTAGAAGAAGAAAAAAAAAGCAATAGAAATACATCGTAAATCTCAAAGAATTAACAATCACTATATACTATAAATAAATTCTAAATTAAATGCAAGC